TGACCTGATTGATCCCACCGTCTTCAAGCGACACGAATGTGTTTCTGTATTTTTCAAGTTTGGTTCCTTATACATAACCACACGGTTTGAGAATAAACGGTGTGACGAACATTAATGTTTTCGGGATCTCGTCATTAGGTCAGTACACAATACGCTGTAAAGATTGACTGGCAAAACGTGGAAGCACGAAAGATTGGTAGTCTGCGTCCCGCAAACCCCATATCGCATTTTGTTGGATGCTGTGTCGAACAATAACTTAGTGAATCACGATTCACTGATATTCTTCCAACCTCATATTTCGTTACTAACTATCGTATTACTTTCGCGTGTTTATAAAATCGAACAATAGTTCAGAAATGTACTCGTATGTTTTCAAAAGTTACTATCTGAGTTTGAATGCCGCACTTTGAAAGAGCATTATTTTAGCAAAAACGCTGAAGACTCCTTCTACAAATTTGCTGCATGCCTTGAAGCTTGGAGCAGCAGCATCAAAGTCAATGGGTGATAGAATTTAATTCTTTCCAATAAGTACAGCTGCATCACGTTGCATACCCACATGGAGCGATGCGAAATTACTGTAAACCCAGAAGTAGTTTGGATATATCAAAGGTCCGTTGACGTGTGGAATTCGTGGCGGAAATTCGGCGAAAGACCGGATTTTTTGATTCTCAGTAGGTGAGTCCATGTATTTCTGTCAGCGATGAAGAATTACGCATGTAAGACTTACGGCTATTATAGATGCTTAAAGCAGAGCCAAAAGGAATGCGCTTTCCTTCAAGTTACGTGTTTACATAATACAAAAGTTAGCAGTAATTTTTCACTCGAAACGTCGCAATAGTTTTGTTGACGTCTGCAAAATATGACTGCACGACACTTGTGCAAAGTTTATCTTCTTTCCTTCTAGTTCACACGTTCGAATTTTCGATGGATTCCATGAGGATTACATAGATTGAAACGTATTCTTAAATGAATCTAGGTCAGCTAATTGGCTGACGACATCTGGAGGCTGCTCAACTATAAAGTGAGATAATGTGGTGTTCTCCAGAGTGTAGACATAATTGGATTTTCGCTGTTTCCGATACCTGTGAATAACTGGCCAGGGTGATGCCTTAATCATAACTTAGCAATAAGACTTCTACCGAATTCCTAAAATCAAAGTATGTTATGCAATTTATGAGTGGACACTTTTCTTATATGCTAATGGAGGAATGACGTTATGGCAACCGCTGACTGAGCGCCCCATTAATTCAAATTTATTAAAACATGGTATCACCCCNGGAGAATATTTTCAGGTGAGAGAATATCCATTTTGAAGAGAAAACACACTGCTAGAGTGGTAACAAACTTTGCTGCGCGTTGTGATACAGACCTTTATAGCACCGGTGCATGGTTTTAGAATGTCTGAGCAGGATCTGGTCGGAAGCACTACTTAAATAATGTACCAGCCATATATATAAGTATCGATATGAGAGGCACAAACGCTAAGCCCTAAGATAGACAAAAATGATAACTATTTTATATTTTCTGTTTTTCCAAGTAGAGGTTACCCAAGTGCATGGGAAGAGACATCACACAATCCATCAATAAGGTCTACATTCAAAATCTGCCAGGTATGGTTAGAGACACCAAAAGGACCCAGAAACTCAAGTGCCCAAAAAACGCTGTAACATTTGACTTAAACTTTCCCCAGTTTGTTTTTGCACTCCGATTTCAGGTTATCGGTCAGCAATCTAGGCTCAATTAATAGGGGCGCGCAGCCAGAGAATGGCACGTATGACGATTATACGGACAGCTTCCGGATGATCCCTCTGATGACCTGATTGATCCCACCGTCTTCAAGCGACACGAATGTGTTTCTGTATTTTTCAAGTTTGGTTCCTTATACATAACCACACGGTTTGAGAATAAACGGTGTGACGAAGATTAATGTTTTCGGGATCTC